GGTTCCTTTCAATGTGTGTGAATTAAAAGCAAGGCAAAATAAAGGGCTTATCTATGCATTCGAGCACCTTATAGACTAGACTAGTTGGGGTGAGGGAGAGAAAGAGAAAAAGAGAGAATAAAGAGAGGGAGAATTGGAATAATATAATGGAGTCAAGAAAATTTAGGTCCTCCTGTAAATCATCGCATATCCTTTACAAAGTTACTCTCTCTGGTTCTGTTACCCATAAACTTTGTACAACTTGATGTCACAGACTTTTCCTAAGATGGAGTGAATGACCTGAAGCATGATAACTGAGTAACTCCATCAGTGATTTTCTCTTCCCATTCTCAAATAAATAATGGCATGGGAGACAAAGATTGTCATTCCTTGGAATGCAGTCACACATCTTCTCCTGAATTTGAACTTGATTTAGAACTCATTGAGCTAAAAAACACTTTTGTTGAAATGAACACATCATTCAAAACTTATTTAGTCATTCTGATTCAACCCAATTTGAGTTTTACTGGGCTGGGACTTTTTGACTTTAGTCATAAGGTAGGAGAAAATGTGATGTCTTGTTCCTAAAAGATAAGCACAGAAAAGCCTCTGGGCAGAAAAATAGAATGACTATGTGTAGACCTTTCTGAGAGTCAATCAGCTGTAATAAAACATCATTTTAAAGAATTTTGTTAATTGGCTTAGAGATAAAGTGCATTTTCAGAAACATTTGGTTTCAAGAAGTAGAGTGAACATTAGGGCACGTTTGATCATTCTAGTGCTGAGAGCAGGCAGAGAATGAGACTAGAGAAGATAGAGAAGTGAGCAGAGCTGGGAAGGACAATGCAAACACAGCAGGGATGACCCTAAATTGGATACAATAGAAAGTCTGGATCATCTGAATTTCTATCCATCTGGGTCATTCTCTTTCTTGAGCATTCTGAATACCTTTGGTTCTAGTGCATCTTGTATAGAACCCTTAGAAATAGCACGCGAGAGGAAGAAGTCTCCCATCAGGTCTCAGATGGTCTTAAAGAATAAATTCCTTGGTCATTTGATTCCAGAATCAATATGGAATACATTCATTCATTTATTCATTAACTCATATTTTCAAGAAATATTTATTGAGGACCTATTAGATTCCAGAAACTCCTCTGGAAATATGTTTCTAACTGACATTGATACCACGTGTGCCTGTGTGGTAAGTTGCTTCAGTACTGTCTGACTCTGTAGCCCCATGGACTGTATGTAGCCTGCCAGGCCCCTCTGTCCATGGGCTTCTCCAGGCAAGAACACCGGAGTGGGTTGCCATTGCCCTCCTCCAGAGGATCTTCCTGATCCAGGGATCGAACCTGCATCTCTTATGTCTCCTGCGTTGGCAGGCAAGTTCTTTACCACTAATGCCATTGATACCATAGTCAAGGGAAGTCTCTGAATTTTAAATGGTGAAGTATAGCCAACCATAAGAGTATCCCAGGCAGACAGAAGGATACAAAGGCCCTGGAAGTCTGACCAAGCTTGGTCTGTGTGAGGAGCATGAGGGTGACGTGGCTAAAGGGTGGTGAGTCCGGGTTGCAAAGCCTAAGACTGGAGAGGAAGGAAGATAGCAGGCCATGGGGCTTCGTGGGGGTGCTCACTACCACATCTCCAGACTCCAAATAATGAGGAAAAGCACATCGCAGCCGGAAGTTCAGCACCTGAAGTCTTCACATGCAACCTTGCATCATGATTCAGCAGATGGAAGCCACAGGGCAAGCACAGCCAGTGTGATGTGAAGGTGCCTCAGGGATGTGGTCAAGCCACAGCAGACTTGTGCCCAAGGTACATCTCCTCTGCCATCCTTACTTTGTTATCCAATAGATTTGCGTTTGTGCTCATAGTTTTGATAGGGAACGGTCCAAAAGGCCATGCTTTACCAACACTTTCTCCTGAGGCTTCCTCATAGGACAGGCCGCTCCGATTTTAGAAAGGGACACAACAGACTGACTAGCCAGAAGTACCCGGCCTATCCACACACAAGGGGGTCGGAGGAGCACCCTTGCTCAGGAACGGAGAAGGGTCCCAGCACCTCAACTACTCACATGGCCTTTCTCTTCTACAAGACTTATTTTCACTGTTGGGTTGGAACTTGAAGGGAACACCAGGATATGTTTTCTGGACCTTTGATTTTTCTCGTGGGTTAATTTCAAACACCTTCAAAAATATAATTTCTCTTCTGTACGCTGACAGGGGGAGAGTCAGTCTCCTTTAGAAATGTGTCTGAAAATGAATAAGTATGTCATCTCTGGAGAAGTTCCACTGATCATTTTTGTTCCCATTTTGGCTATATTCTCCTCTATGTTGCTTGTTATCTGAAAGTATCTATTTCTTATTGTTGTTGCTTTTCCAGGAAATCACCTCTGGGCTCTGCCATGCAATGGAACCTTTTGTCAAATGCAGGCCCATTAGTGTAATCAGTAGCCATTACCACTTAAAGCAAGTCAGTTACTGAAGTATTATAAGCAGTTAAACTTGACAGTAAAGACACTAAGCTAAAGAAAGTGGGGGGTGGGCGGGTAGTAAAGATTTACAGAGAATGTCAAAATGGAAAGCTGTTTTTTGTCCCTTCCTTCCCTACATCCTTAGATGGAGAATGATAAAGAGTTTCTTACACCAGTAGGATTAAGACATCTGCTGGGAAGGAAGGTGACACCAGGCAGAGAGTCTGGGAGGGTAAATCCTAACGAGGGTGACCATATGTTCTGGTTTGCCTGGGAAAGTCCGAGTTTCCACCTGTTCTTCTGGCACAGTTGCTAACAATTTTCTCCCTTCACTTTCAAAAGTGTCCTATCTGGATGGTAAATTATGTGGGGGCTCTAGTCCTAATTCTGCCTGTTCCACTAAGTAGGTATATGGCTCAGGATAAATCCCTCACCTCTCTGGACTTGGTTTCTCAAGAGTTTGGATGAAATTATAACTAAGGTACTCTTTATCCCAATATTCTATGGTTCCAGTAAGGATGAAAGAAGGAAACATAGAGTTTTGTAGATTTTGGAAGGTATGTACTTGTAGGTAAAGAATATAATTTATTTCTAAGGGGAAAGTTTGCTTCCTGGTTTAGCACAACTGCCTTTGTCTTATCTAACAAGCTTTTGTTGATGATGGTTGGTACTACACCTAAGATCTTAAATGTATTATCTTATTTAATCCTAACAAAACTACCTTGGTTTCTATCTTACATGGACTGATAGTCACTTCAAACTATCTTTCAAATCTAAGTGTATCTGACTGTAAAATAGTGTTCTTAACCACGATGCCACATCTAGGATACTTTGAGCAAAAGGGAAGAAAGTACTCAGTGTATCAGTCGGGATAGGCTCAAGTGTGCTGTGGTAACAAAAATCCACAGTCTTTCTGGCTCACAACATTTATTTTCCAGTCATGTTGCAGACGCATCAGAGGTTATCTGGGGGCAGGGCTCTCTGCTGTTCTTTCTCCAGGACCTAAGCTCGTTGAGTAGCAATCTCCTTCTGTAGCCCCCTCTGCACCCTAGCCCCAGTGCATGGGCAGAAGAAACACGGCAGCTTGTACACTGGCCCTTAAACCTTCATCCAGAAAAGACCACATCACTTCTGTTCACAATTCACTGAGCACAATCTCATCAACTCAAGTCATATGACTACGCCTAGCTGCAAAAAGGCAGGAAGTAAAAACCTACAATGGACCAGAAATAACGGGAACAATTGGAGAAAAGCACTTAGTGACCACCACACCAAGGTAGTCCTAGAACAAAAGGTCTAAAGTCCCTCTCACAGCTTTAAAATCCTCTGAGTTTCAATCACCGTTAAGCAACATTTCATAGAAGTAGGTGTGCACTGTTTACTCTATCTCTCTCTGCTTTATTAAGCCCTTTGTTATCCACAGACTTACTAGCTCATCTCTGTTAAAAAACATCCTTTCTATCCAAATAAGCAGATAGAATTTAGAATGATATGGATATAAACTACTCCTAATCCACTTATGCCCCTCCTCTCAGGTCTCAGCTGCATCCACTGTGCAGCCGAGAGATGACAGTTCAGTGAAGGAAAGGTGTGTTTACCTCGGGAAAGAGTGTCTTTATGACACTGATCTGCTCTGATGAACCCACTAATGTGAAATTTCTGACCCAATAGGCAGTGATTGCACAGCTCTGAGACTCCTCTCATTATTCATGAAATATGTGCCGTGCAGTGTCAGTGCTCTCCCGGCAGACTCGCTGCCAAGCAATTACTCATTTCCATCACTTAGCTATTTTATTATTATTATTTTTCAGTGGGTGTCTATATATTCACTGCACTTCAAGAAGCAAAGCACAGTCCCAGAATGAAAATGATGCTTGTCTTGTTTGATTTTAAATAGAAAAGCACTTTAAGTCCTTAAAAATTGATGTTGTTTTAAACTTTACAGCAAGCAAGAGAGGAAACTGGTAGCTGCAGAAATAAATGGAGAGCAATCAGGCTCATTTCCACTGTTACACATATTTGCTACCTAAGAGCTGCTGGAGGGACTAACTTATATGTCCTGATTTATTTCTCTGATTCCCCCAGGAGCCCTTAAGAGGAACAATGAACCTGAAATGGTTACGGAGCTCTAGTTGAGGTTCATTGTCAGAGGCAGGAGTATTCATGTACAGAGACCCATGCTTGGAAAATGGACAGGTTCCAGGAGTCATGTCCCCTTCTCATCACAATGTTTGCTAGTATAACCCTTGCAGATATAAAGTCTAATGTAAAAGAATGGCTGCCTTTTACTGCTATGGGATAGAATCTGTGCAGAGCATTTGTATCCTGGAACAACTAAGGAACATTCCAACACCAGATTTAATAACAGAAGAGTTTTGGAAGTGTGAGACTTCACTGAACAAAAAAGTCCTCAATCCTAAGCAGCAGTGCTCCTGCGTGGGTTGTCTTCTCAGATTCTGTAGTCAGATGCAGTGATGACCCCAGCACTTCACAGTCCCAATACCCACCCCTTCTCACGTGAATTTGTGGTTCCTTATTAAAAAGATAGAGTCCCGTTCTCTGTTTCTTGAGTGGTGCGCTGGTCTCATGCCTTCTTAGCCAGGAATGGTGCGGAAGTGGTAGCAGGCCAACTTCAAGTCTGTGCCTCCGAAGTCCTTGTGTGTTGCCACGTGACTTCTCTTGCCCCTTGCTATCACCATGGAAACGTGTCTGCACTAGCCTGACGGAAGAAGGGAAACAGAGCAGCTCTAGCCCTGGTTGTCTCAGTGAGGTCAGACAGACTAGCTGACAGCCAGCTCATCTGACCTCAGACCCATGAACAAGCCCAGCCAAGATCAGCAGAGCCACCTAGCCAAAACCCCAGCTGACCCCAGACATGCAAGAAATACATGTCTATTGTTTATTATTAAAAAGTCTTGTGACTCTGTTATACAAATCACATAAATAACTCACTCAAACCCCATCAGGAAATTAGGATTTTCTTTTTTTCCCCCTCTCCCACACCTAACTCTGATATATTTTATTTACTTTGGACTTCCAATTTTCTTCAGTTTCTTTACTCTATTTCACATATTATTATTAAGTACATATTGTCATGCTGGGCAGCATGGTTAATATAGGCACTGGTGAGTCAGGGAACTTTCTATGAAGGAGCTCTCATTCTAATACAGCAGTTCCCAATTTTTATCTCAGCTTACTTAGTGGATGGCATTAATATGTACAAGACACTCTCAAAAGCAAACTTAGACTCCTGAACAATTCCTGGTACATTTGTTCTTTCTCTACCCGTGTCTCCTACACCTAAGACATTGCACTTGAGAGCTGGTGAACTGAAGCAGCCCTGAAAGACTTGAAACATATCGTAGTGTCACCTTGAATCATTTATATGTTGTTATTTTACCTACCTTTAGTTGTAATTTATAACACACTTCGTTGCTGATTGCTGCATCCTGAGTTTTAACATCCCAGTTGAGAGCAAGTGGCCTAGTGAAAGGAGAATGCTGACATCCTGGGTATTAACTGCAATCCAAAGCATATTGAAAGAAGGGCTTAGCAAAAATATAAGCAACAGACTGTGGCAGGAGGTCTCAGAAAGGAACAAAACATCCCACCTGGGGCACACAGGGATGCTTCCCAGAAGAGTTGACATCTGATCTAAACCAGAGTTTTGACAGAGTAAATTAAATCACTTCATTAGCAAGAAAGCACTCTTTATCCCACCTCCTGTAATCCCAGATGTCCCTCCAATCCTTTTGACTGGGTTCAGTCGAGGTTGAAATTTCAATCGAAGCAAAGAAATTGCACATTATTGCTGGACCTTACTGAGATAGGTGATGGGAAAGTAAAAGCTCAGACTCTGGAACTCTGAGCCCACCCTCCCCTGACTGTCACTATGTCTCCCCCAGAAGGATGTTTGAGAAGTCAGCCTTCCTCACTTAGGAGCCGGATCCACCAGTCCTCTGTCACCTGGCTAATGACAGAGCTGGGAGAGATACGGCTTTCTTCTCTCTGGGTTAATGTTCTAATTTATTGAGTGTTTGATGATCTTTAGATGCCCCTTCTAACCTTGGCTTCTGAATCATGTTTTCTTTTGAGTCTTGCCTGCCAGTCTAAGGGAAGAATTTATAGACACGATGCCCCCAACTCCTGCTTCAGAGGACCAGATCACAGGAGTCAAAGCTGATCTTTACAGAGGCCTTAGGGCTTCTAGAGGACTTCAGTTTAAGAAAAACTCTTTCCCTGTTTCCTCCTTCCATGCCTCTCCTAGACAAGTGTGATCTTTCAATTTCACTCTAAGGCGCAGGTCTCCCAGGCGGTTTGCTCGTTATGTGATGGCACAGGAAGGAGAAACAGCCCCCATTGGAAGTAGGGATCAAAATGAGAGTGATAAAGTTCCATAGAACAGTATTGCATAAAGGAGGAGACCTGGAAAGGTGAATTCTTTAATGTAGTTTGAAAAAAGCGAGCTTCACTGGCTGGTGGAGAACCTGTGTGGAGCCTTTGCTCCCCTCTAGAGAACCACAGTGCAGACTTTTAAGAGCAAAACTAGACTATCCTCTACAGTTAACAGTTCCTTTGAGAAACAGCTGCCAGCCTGCTGCTTGGCCCTAATAGAGACTGGATGTCTGATGATGAACTGTAGACTTATAGAATACCTTGTTACCATTATGGCATCCCACATAAGGTGCTTCTGAGCAGGGAATCCATTAACAGTGTCTGATTCACCAAGCCATAAACTTGGGCAGGCACTGCACCATCAAGTGGGAATGCTCTATTTGAGAGGCCCCATGAACATGTGGCTCAAATTTTCATGATTCCCACTTTTGTTGTACTCCCTTCTTTCTCTCAGCATACCCCTATGACCAGCTGACCAAGGACAAAAAAACTTCATGCTTGCTCTATGACGATTTTGCTGGCAGCATCTAAAAGTAGGTGGTGGTGACACAGCCTGACTTGAGTGGCCTGAAGGACATGGTGGGGGGACATCCTGCAAGTAGGCAGAACTTGTGAGCAGTATACCTGGTTATTCTTTTTTGCCTAGAAAGAGAGAAAGCAAAGTATGAAACTATGTGGATTCAAGGGCATTGTCTAATGGTTTGGTTGGACGATTATGGACTTGAAGGAATACTCTTAAGTGTTAGTGGAAGAAGGTTTGGGGAGAAATAAGTGGATAGGTCTCTCAGAAAAGACAAAATATGAAAAGATCTTTATGTCTCACCACAGAGAAGTTTAGAAAAAGAATAGATACATAGATACATAGTTTGTTATGTATCTATTTAGTTTGCTGTTCATCTGATACCATCACAATGCTGTTAATCAGCTATACTACAATGTAAAATAAAAGGTTTAAAAAAAATAAAAGAAAGTAGATCTCTACAAATTATGCAAAAGGATGAAATAGAAAAAAAGCAGAGAAGTTCAATGATCCAGTGAGCAGGATGACCTATTCTGTGGATGTTGGTCAGCCTCTTTTCTGAGTGCCCCCATCTTTGCTCATTGGGCTAATAGAAACAGTGGCCATGTCAGGAGGGCTGTTATGCGTGGACTCAGCCTTGTGAACTTCTATTGTCAAGCCTACACCACCTGCTCGAGGCCCACCGGTACATCTGCAGAAGCAATAGCTGCATAGAGATGACAGTTCCCCAAGGATACCTCTTGAAGCTCCCTCTTCATTGTTCCAGATTTCACTCTAAGGCGCAGGTCTCCCAGGCGGTTTGCTCGTTATGTGATGGCACAGGAAGGAGAAACAGCCCCCATTGGAAGTAGGGATCAAAATGAGAGTGATAAAGTTCCATAGAACAGTATTGCATAAAGGAGGAGACCTGGAAAGGTGAATTCTTTAATGTAGTTTGAAAAAAGCGAGCTTCACTGGCTGGTGGAGAACCTGTGTGGAGCCTTTGCTCCCCTCTAGAGAACCACAGTGCAGACTTTTAAGAGCAAAACTAGACTATCCTCTACAGTTAACAGTTCCTTTGAGAAACAGCTGCCAGCCTGCTGCTTGGCCCTAATAGAGACTGGATGTCTGATGATGAACTGTAGACTTATAGAATACCTTGTTACCATTATGGCATCCCACATAAGGTGCTTCTGAGCAGGGAATCCATTAACAGTGTCTGATTCACCAAGCCATAAACTTGGGCAGGCACTGCACCATCAAGTGGGAATGCTCTATTTGAGAGGCCCCATGAACATGTGGCTCAAATTTTCATGATTCCCACTTTTGTTGTACTCCCTTCTTTCTCTCAGCATACCCCTATGACCAGCTGACCAAGGACAAAAAAACTTCATGCTTGCTCTATGACGATTTTGCTGGCAGCATCTAAAAGTAGGTGGTGGTGACACAGCCTGACTTGAGTGGCCTGAAGGACATGGTGGGGGGACATCCTGCAAGTAGGCAGAACTTGTGAGCAGTATACCTGGTTATTCTTTTTGGCCTAGAAAGAGAGAAAGCAAAGTATGAAACTATGTGGATTCAAGGGCATTGTCTAATGGTTTGGTTGGACGATTATGGACTTGAAGGAATACTCTTAAGTGTTAGTGGAAGAAGGTTTGGGGAGAAATAAGTGGATAGGTCTCTCAGAAAAGACAAAATATGAAAAGATCTTTATGTCTCACCACAGAGAAGTTTAGAAAAAGAATAGATACATAGATACATAGTTTGTTATGTATCTATTTAGTTTGCTGTTCATCTGATACCATCACAATGCTGTTAATCAGCTATACTACAATGTAAAATAAAAGGTTTAAAAAAAATAAAAGAAAGTAGATCTCTACAAATTATGCAAAAGGATGAAATAGAAAAAAAGCAGAGAAGTTCAGTGATCCAGTGAGCAGGATGACCTATTCTGTGGATGTTGGTCAGCCTCTTTTCTGAGTGCCCCCATCTTTGCTCATTGGGCTAAGAGAAACAGTGGCCACGTCAGGAGGGCTGTTATGCGTGGACTCAGCCTTGTGAACTTCTATTGTCAAGCCTACACCACCTGCTCGAGGCCCACCGGTACATCTGCAGAAGCAATAGCTGCATAGAGATGAGAGTTCCCCAAGGATACCTCTTGAAGCTCCCTCTTCATTGTTCCAATTTGGTGGTTGGACAGGCTGGTTTTTCATATTTCTCTTCAGGTTCTGACTTCAGGAGATTTCTAGTGGGCATCACAAGGATGTATTAGCAATTCTTTCTTCTCTCCTTCAGCTTTCACTTCCAGATTTTCACCTTCCCAGCAGGGCAAGGGGCCACATTTGTATAAGGTCTAATTGCCATAATTAATCCTCTATTCCCATAACACTCATAAGAGCTTTGCTTCCCTAACTGAACCCAGGCTGGTAAATGGGGATTGGGATGAGTGAGTGTACCGTGCATTTTATCCACGTGAGGCCCTTCAAGTCATTTTCAGGAATGGCTGTTATGTGCGGCTTGTCTACAGTCTGAAAGGTGAGAGGGGAGATATCCCAGAAATCTTATTTCCTAAAAGGAAATTTTCCAAATCTAAAATAATGTTAAAATCTTTATTTGGTGGTGAGACTACATATGATTTATGTTTTGATCTTTTTCTCCTGCTAACTATAACATTTTCATAAGAAATAGATTTTATCTATTACTTGATAAGCAAAAAATAACAAATTTTGTTTCAAATAAGATCAGGGGATTTTAAAAGTTCAGATCACCTGGTGACATATACATATACTACAGCATAATACAAAATCCATTGTTGAATAGAGTTGAATTAATCAGTTTGCACCCCGTGTATACCAAGAACAGTTAGTTACTAATTCAAAATACACCCCAGCTTTCTGTAATGCAAACAATATATAAGAGAAGCTGAATGTGTTAGTGTGGCTCCTTCCACTATAAGAGGAGACGTTATAGATTCAAGTATGGTGGTTTATTGTAAGAATGCATTAGACAATAAAATTGCTGGAATTCTGAATTGTCCCAGATTTCCTGGTAGGACACAGTGCAGGAGACCCTTTGGAGCCTGGGCCTGAATTAAGGTTCATCTGGCTCAGAAACAAGTGTTGGGAACCTAGGAGAAAGTTATGGGTCTTTATTCATAAACATTTTGCTAATAGATAATTCAGATTCTTTCCAAGCTTTCTTTGTGTTTACTCACTATTAAAGAAAATTAGATCATTTATAAGAAAAATTTAAAGATCTATCTCATTTTTTATATATCACAAGTATTTTATCATATGAGCAATAAGGAGCAAGCAGGAAAGTAAACTGAGGTTTGAGATTGAGATTAATAATAAAAAAGCCTGGAAACAGGATAAAAAGAGATAAGTCACAGAGGCAGAGAAGACACCAAGGCATCTAGTGTAATAACCTAGGCCAAACCTAGGCCAAAAAATAATGTAAACCAACTCAAGAAACTGGCAAGCAGAACCAAAAATTACGCTGAAGAAACTATTAGTAATGAAAGTATCTCATTAGCCTAATTAGAAGCCTATTTGTTTCATGAAAAGCTGCATTTTATTTTCAAAGAGTAAAGAAAGGTTGGCCTTGCTTTTAGTCAGACATTCTGTGGGATTTTCAGTCCTATTGATTTGTTAGTTACAGATTTCTTCCTATCTGTCTGATAAGGCAACTTGATAATTCCTGCTCATATGACTGCTACATTTGAATGACTAGTTGACCATAGCACTGGTTAACCGTAGACAAGGCCGTGCTACAGAAACCAATAACTCCCAAATCCCAGTGGCGGTAAACCACAGAGCAGTTTCTCCCTGCTGGATGGAGCAGGTCCATCGCAGGTCAGCGGTCCTGCAGCAACCTGGCTCTCGGATCAGGCTGAACGATTAGGCAGCGGCCACCACATGCCTTTCACCGTGGTCGAGGGGAAAAGTCAGTAGCCAATCATATCCCAGCTTATAAAGCATCTGTCTAGAGAAGAACAGTATACTTCACTGGTCATAGTAAATCATATGGCCCCACTCACCTTTTAGGGAGTAGAGAATTGCAGCCCTACTGTGAGTCCAGTCAGAACCAGAAATATTTCTGTGAACAACTCTAATATTCACCCCGTTGGTTATGGCTTCTTTAGCAGGGTTATCTTGGCTACCTTGAATCTCATCAACTACCTAGAGATCAGAAAAAAGGCTTTAAGACTCCACCTGCAGCAGCAAGTAGTGACGCTATTAATTCCCACAAGCTTAGTTAGGAAGCCCTAAGGTCTTAGCTATTTATATAGTTGCAAACACCCAAGACACTTCCTGACAGATTATGGATGTGGAGTACAGTAATAGCCTTAGTAGAATTTCCGCTCTGGTTTCTGTCTTGTCAGGAATCTTCCCTGCTGTCTACCTAAGGCCTCCCAAGCTGTATCCAGGGCTTGTTCTTCACCTTCAGGCCCACAGTGCAGTGACTGTTGAGCAGCTGTCCTCTCCCACTGTGGGGATGACTGTGCATCCACAAGGCGTGGTTAGTGCAGCAGCGTATGCTAGGGGAACACTTGGGAAGTGGGCTAGATGGAAAACAGAGGGACTTACTTGAATTAGAAGCACACACACAGGATATTCTGGTCTGCAGTCTTTGCAGCCCCCTCTCTGTTTGGCAGAGAAAATCTGTCCCCTTTCACATGACCTGCTAGCACTTGGGGTGTATTCTCTGTACCTTCTATTAAATCCAGTAGCCATCTCTTATTCTCTTGCATCCTCACATTCTGCGAACCAAAGAAGAGATGGTCTTTTGCAGTAGTTCTGCAGTCCTTGCCAGAAGTCAATGAAAAGCAGTTGTGCTCCTCCAGAATGAATGAGGGCCTTAGGACATCTCACATACTGGGTTCCACCTCGCTTTGCACCTGCCAGCCCCCTAGGTAAGGGTTCCCACAATTTCCTGATGATAAGAAGCAACAAGGGTACTGGTTAAAATATAGACTGCCCAGCCTATCCTGGGAAGATATGAATCAGAAGCTTTGGATAGGGACCAGGAAAACAGTCTTATAAAAACACTTGAGGTAAGTCTTATTTTCAGGAAACTTTGGGAAACACTAGCCAGTGTTTGTCCCTTCTTCTTACAATACTTGGACATTTTTTAGCTTCGCCAAACAACACTGCGAGCGTAGAGAATGATACCACCAAACCTTGCTCAGATAACCTCAATCCTTCCGCTCTCTCCTATGGTCAACATTTCTAGCCTCTAGTTATATCATGTCTAGTGTACTCCCATGGAGCCTCGCAGGTGCTCAGTGGTAAAGAACCTGCTTGCCAATGCCGGAGGCCCAGGTTCAATCCCTGGGTCGAGAAGAGCCCCTGGAGAAGGAAATGGCAACCCACTCCAGTATTCTTGCCTGAGAAGTCCCATGGACAGGGGAGCCTGGCAGGCTACAGTCCGTGGGCTCACAAAGGGTTGGACACGATTTAGTGACTAAACCCCAACCGCAGTCTACTTTCATATACTTCCATATAGTGTTGGGCTATCATCTAGCTGTTTGACTAGGTATATTTAGTTTCTTCCTAAAAGTAAAAATTCCCAAAAGTCAAAAATAGTATCTCTACTTTGTTTTCTCTTCCTCTTCCTCCTCCGATATCTAGCATCATCTGTCTCTATCTCTACATCTATCTCTATCATCTGTTTATCTATCTTTCCATTAGAATGTGAACTCTATGAGATCATGCAACTTGCCACCTCCACAGCATTTAGAACTGTGCCCAGCATGTATTAGGTACTCCAAATAAATGAGTCTTGGCTTATGGGTCAAGTTAATAAGAAAGTTTTAAACAAGTCTGAGACATCTTAAATGTTACAAGGTTGCTGCTCTCCTGACTGCTTTATCAACAGGACAATTCCCTTCTTTCCTCCTTTACCCTCTCTTTCCAGCCCCTGCCTTTTCCTCTGCTGAAACTGTCCTAAAGAGCATTGACCTAATTAATGCATAGAGAAACAAGCCCAGAGCTAGGTACAAGCAGTGTACAGTTTTTATATTTACCACCCTGCAATCTATTCCTCATTTTATTAACAGGAGCCCTTTTAGGGAAACATCTCAGCCTCTATACTGAGGTAAGAGTGACCCAGACCCGACCAATCAGTATATGCCCTGGCCTCAGGGCAAGTCCTTTCCAGGCATGGCTGTGTGACCCCCGGGTCTAGTCAGAGTTTGGGACTTTGCTGGGACCTGGGCGAACACTGGCTCTTGTACTGCTGAGGTTGCCAGCCTGGAGTCCAGGGGGCTCTCCTGTGGAGGGTGCCTGCCTGAGATTGAAGCCAGCACAGGGAAGAACAGGACAAAGTGCTGATCAGAAAAGAAGACCGTCACGGAGAGCGTCATGGTGCGTGGGAACACGGCCAAGGGAACAGCTTACGGGCCACACTCGCTCTGCGACTTCTTGCAGGCCAGAGGTTTTTCTAAATGCTCTTCCATGCTCCTTTTATACACTCTGCTCCCAAGCTATGAGCCATAGACTTGTTTCCGTGCTAGTCTGTGAGCTGCAGCCTGAGCACCAGGGCTGGATTTTCATAAGCTGTGTCCCCACACCGAGCACCCAGCACATGAGTGCTCCATGCTCAGCGCACGGCGGTGACATGATTCCGGGTGTGCGTAGAGTCGATTGCAGAGCTCAGCTCTGGGTTTCCTGACCTGAAAACACAAGGGTGTGCCTCTACCAAATCTTGCAGGCCAGAGGTTTTTCTAAATGCTCTTCCATGCTCCTTTTATACACTCTGCTCCCAAGCTATGAGCCATCGACTTGTTTCCGTGCTAGTCTGTGAGCTGCAGCCTGAGCACCAGGGCTGGATTTTCATAAGCTGTGTCCCCACACCGAGCACCCAGCACATAAGTGCTCCATGCTCAGCGCACGGCGGTGACACGATTCCGGGTGTGCGTCGAGTCGATTGCAGAGCTCAGCTCTGGGTTTCCTGACCTGAAAACACAAGGGTGTGCCTCTACCAAAAATGAGAGCTACTCAGGGAAAACCGCTTCTTGATTTCTCGACCTTGCTGGGCAGAGAAGAGTAGACTGTGAGCTGAAATTGCTGGCCCTGCTCCATCTCCTCGCAGATGACAGCCTCTGGCCAGTTTGTGAGGAGACACACACTGCGAGGCAGACAGCAGCCCGTGCTCCTGCCAGCTGGGCCGCTTCTCTGCAGGCCTCCGAGAGGCTGGGAGACGGGGCGTGACAGAGAGCCAGGCCTGTTGCTCTGCTCTCTGGAGGACGCCTGGGGCGGCCGGGACGACCCTCTCACACTGTGGGAAGCAGGAGGAGGGGTTCAGCCCCCACAGGCAGAGAACAAGAGGGTAAAAATGAGAGCAAGTAGAGGTTTGGGGTTTCGGTTTTAGCGACTATGCCTGAGGAGCCTGACAGCAAGTGTCCCTCTGTGAGGATGTAGATCCGCTGGGTGGAAATGCAGACTGAGGCACAGCACCTGCCTCCTTCATTTTTCCTCTTTCTTTTCTCAGGTAATAGTCCTTCCCTCCAATTCTCACAAAAAGTTGGTAAAAATAGCTGTTTTCATTTGAAAAGCATTTTGAAGAGACCAGTCAAAAGGCTATTTTGCCATATCTTAGCTGTTGTGAATAACGCTGCCATGAACCACGGTAGCACTTCTGTCTCCTTGAGGTTCTTACTTCAGTTACTTTGAATATATACCCAGAAATGAGAATGCTGGATCATATAGTGATTTTATTTTTAATTTGTTGCGGAATCTCATATGATTTTCCATAATGGCTCTACCAATTTACATCCCCCCAATAGGGTTTTTGTTTGTGTGTCCATTGATGGATGAATAGATAAATTGAGATAAAATGCATACACATAAACACATAACACAAATATACAATGAGATATTAGTCTTAATAAAGAAGGAGATATTGCCATTTGTGGCAATATATTTAAACTTAGAGAACATCATTTTATGTGAAAAAAATCAGACACAAAAAGAAAAAGACTGCATAATCACTCTTATATTTAGAGTCTAAACTCATAGAACCAGAGAGTATAATAGTGGTATAATATTATAAATATAAATGTAATATAAATAGAGTATAATAGCAAGGTTTATGGAGTTGAGGAAAATGGGGAGAAGTTGGTAAAATGGTACAAAGTTTCAATCATGTAGAATGAGTAAGTCAAGAGATGTAGAGTATGGCATGATGACTATTGCTAATAATATTGCATTGAATACCGGGAATTTGCCAAGAAATTACATCTCAGGTGCTCTTACCACACACATACAAAGTAGTAACTGTGTTAATTAACTTGACTGTAGCAATCATTTCTCTATGTATATTTGTATTTCAAAATAGCATGTTATACACCTTAAAATATATAATTTTATTAAAGAAAAAAAGGCACTTTTCCTTACTAACCAATTCCTATTACTGAATAGAATTTCCGTAAGATTTTTCTTCCCCAAAGGAAGAGGCCAACGTTACATTCTACCTCATAGAAACCCTCCCTTTGAACCGTCACATTCCCTCATGTCTTCTTTTTGCCTTGGCTGCATGTTCTTCTTTGAACTCATGTTGAAATCATGCCCAAAGCATGGATAACAAGTTGCAAGCAGGATTGTGGGCATGAAACAAATATTGCACCTAAAAAGAAATGCCAATGTACACAATTCAGGCAATTGGATGAACATTTCTATCCTCTCAGAAAACATTTTGATGAATAAGATTCCTTCCTGGGCCAACATCTCTCTCACATTCTTTGTATCATCTTCTTAGCTCTGCAAGACTCCCTTCTTTTTACTGCCTTCCCTGAAGGCAATTTAATCAAAGTTTATGTGCAATAAATAAAGGTGGAGGAAGGTTCCTAGGATGTGGGTAAAGCCAGATTCCACAGTGCTAAAGAAAGAAGTAACACTTAGTGAGAGGAGCTAGTGAACAGTTCCTCTCATCCAGCTCTTGAGGAAGGGAAGATGAATAGGATTCCTATTGGATGTGCCCAACTCTTAAAGACCTAGTGTTTTACTTGCTTCTCTGCAAAACATGCTTACAAAACACAAGCAAATCCCTATGGGGAACTCTCACGCTCTTTACGAATGTTAGCAGTTTTCTAATCATTGATATAATGTTCACATAATAGCTTCTATTAACACAACAACAAGTTTTGCAACATGCCCTACATT